AAAGACAGCGACACATCGCGTGTAAAGGCATACTTTTATAAACCTAAATGCAGGTTTTTGGGAAACATTTTCACATTGTTGCATTTTTTTCAATAAATCCCAAAACATAACAATTGCACACAATATATGTAGTTATAAAACATGACATACGAAAAACATACTTACATTTGGTATGACTTTTACTTAAGTGTTTTACATAGTCATTTTATCTCCACATGTTGAGAGCTGTTCTAACCTGTTTGGACATCCCAGCAGGTGGATAATTATATATAAGCATAAATCTGCACACGTCCTTCGTAGACGATAAAATAGTGTAGAACCTAAGACTTTCTCAAAGATTCAAAAGGATACAAGGATGAATCCGTCTGAGCAAAATACATCATCTGCCAGCAGACAATTGCTATATGCTTATTAATCTTATTAAAATCCTAACACAATTATATGGCATTCGTTGAGCTGACACAAATGAAGGAGGGGAGATGCAGAGAGTAAGGGAGGAGGACGGAGAATGATAAAGGGATGCAGTGTGTTTCCGAAAGAAATGTTCTGTTAGTGGGTGGAAGTGCTGCAGGAATGTCAGTTGTAGTGGTAATCAGTCACAAGTGTTTGTTTGAAGAGTGGTGCATTTGTGTGATTCTGTATAGATCGGGAAATAATATAGATTTTTAGAGCTTTTTTGATACAGAAAACTTTCAAAAGGTCCTCAATTGAATTTCCTTAATTTTCTTGAGTTGGCCTTGAGAGTGACGGCAAACACTTGAGTCAGAGCCACTCATCATCCCAGCAGACTTGAAATCAAGGCACACTGCATGCAGTGTCTGTTTAAAACATGCCTGCCTGCTGTGGTTATGTTGCTTGGACTTTCTCGAGAACCGCTCATAAAAACAACTTCACACTCAAAAAACAGTTTAATACAGACTGGTTGACAAACTAATGAAAAAAACAACCCAAATCTGGCTTCTATCACGGTCAAAAACATCGGTTAAATACACTTAGTGGATGTATTAATGTCATATTTGGCCTACTTTGACAGAACCAGCATGATTATAAAGTACAGAATAGATGTAATTATTGGAGGTATTTTTCAGAGTGGTGCAGTGATGAAGTATTTATTCAAGCTGCATCGAAAGATGTCCCTCGACAAAAGTTAAAAATGAAATAATTGTAATAGATTATCCTTTTTATACTTATATGATGTCTGAAGTCTACAAACAGAAAGTGAGACTGTTCAAGACACTTGCAGGTAACATTTATTTAAAAACAAAATGCAGAATAAGAGAAAAATGATGACCCAAAACTGTCGGTAATCATCCATCACAGTTTTGCAGAACCATTTCCTGCCTCAACTTCGACCCTTTGTACTTACTGAAGTTGTGTGTACACAGGGTTCTTGTGCACTAAAAATGAAGATGTCATGAAGAGTTGTTATATACCAGAATTGTTCTTTGTCTCTTCCTCTACAATCCTCTCTTGTAGCTAGATCTGTGATGTTAGCAGTCAAGTTTACCAGCTGACTGAACAGGGAAAGAATTTCACACACACACACACACACACACACACACACACACACACACACACACACACACACACACACACACACACACACACACACACACACACACACACACACACACACACACACACACACACACACACACACACACACACACACAAAAGGAATCTCTGCCAGTATCCATGCTTAGTGTGTGAGTCGACCATTCAGTGAGGCAGTCTGTGATCTGCTTTGTTGTGTCTACATTTCAGACGGGGAGATCAGATAAACTGCAGACAAACACCTGCAATCAGCTTTAAAGAAACTGGTATCCAAGCTCAGAAGCAAATCACCTTGGTAACCTGTCAATCAGTGAAGCTGTAATTCATTCACACATTAGATTGAGTCACTTTGGAGAGTGTTATGTGTTCAAAAGAACAGAATTGGTGGTGTGACTGGTGCCCCACAGCTGCAGAATGACACATTGACTTGTTGATGTTGTTGTTGATGGAGTATGTCATCTCTAAACTCACATTTAGCCAGCTCTCTTTCTCTTTGTTTATGCTGAGTCACGGTTGCTTAATTTCCTCATTCACCACATCTTGTTTTAGGGAAATGAAAGAGACTTCCTGTATGAACTATTAGGTTAAGTTTAGGTGTTTCAAATGAGTTTTAGGAGATCTAACGCAGGCAGATTTCAGACAACAACCTGGAACTGACAGAAAGATATCGGGAGCTCCTTAAGCTTTTTAACCGTGTGAAATGGAGCAATGGTGTAACGGGTGGGAATGGTGAGTTGTCGCTGATAAGAAGATTAGAAAACTTTTAGCAACGGGTCGTATCGCACAGTACATGCTAGAATTTACCAGCTTTTTTCTATTTATCAATTGTTGTTTTTATTGCTTCATTTTGTTTCTACATTTTTCTATGTACATTTTTTTTTTTTTAGATGACCTTGCAATGCAGCAACACTTTTTTTCATCAGCATTAAGACGCATGTTGTGCTCATATAGTGGTTCCCATTAGGGGTGCAACAACTAATCGATTAAAATCGATGACCAAATTAGTTGCCAACTAATTCAGTCGTCGATTCGTTGGTGACGTCATCACGTGTGTTTTACGGGCAAGGCAAGTTTATTTATATAGCACTTTTCAACACAAGGCAATTCAAAGTGCTTTACAAAAAATGAAAGACATTAAGAAAATGGCATTTAAAATCAGTCATTAAAAAGAAAAGCTAATAAAATAAACATTAAAAGAAAAAATACATGGATAAAAGTTACAGTGCAGTCTAAGATGTGAGTAGTTCATTATATCGCAGTCTTAGTGTCGCCAACTCGTTTCTAACATGCAAAAAGACAAAAAAAATCGTCTATGGTGTATTTTCGACCTTTCCAATCCAGACGAGATCTCTCTCCCGTCTGTGTGCGAGGGGGCGGGGCAGTTTACACACGGCTGCTACATGCACACACAGCGGAGATGGCGGAGAGAAGCTCTCCAAAGTGTGGTTAAATGTTACCCGTCTTGAGGTGGACAATGCTCCTTGCCAAGAGAGTTCAGCATGTGAGGGCGGTAACACGAGCAATTTGTCTAAACATTTAGTAAAAGTGCTCCACATTCAGACGGAGGAATGCACCGGGTTCGACCGTCTTTCTAGCAGCTCTGTAGCACCATCCACGAGTAACGTTTCCACGTCAGGTGTTATGTATGCTAGCAGCAACACACGGAGTTAACTCCATTATACAAACATGGGTTAATGATTAGAGGTAACTGAGTTATTTAGTTTGTTAAAATTTCAGCTATTCTGTTCACAGTTCTGTCATCAGATTATTTAATACGATTTGTTAAAACACTGTTGTTTCTTTTGATGTGAAATATTATTGATTTAATTAATAAAAAGCAATGTTAATTTTTGTTTAGTTAATTTAATAATATATGTATTTTTGAATCAAGTATTAATCTTTATTGTCTTCATTGTTAGTTTCCACATGCCTAAAACAACCTCAAGCTACATCTAAAAGTTGATGGCTAAATAAGAGCGTTTGAGAAATTGTGCAAGGCATACAGTAATAGTCCGAATAGTCGATTAATCGTTTCATTAATCGATAGATTAATCGATTATCAAATGAGTCGTTTGTTGCAGCCCTAGTTCCCATCCAAAGGACTAAAGGGGCTGCAGAAAGCTTTAGTGTTGTTTATCTTGACATTTCATTGCGGTCGTCACTATTATCATTACTTATTGCTTGAGTGACATGTTGTTGATATTCCTGTGACATTAGTAAATGTCAAACACTTTATTAAATGAGATGTGTCAAGGCAAATGACCAGGAGACTTTCACTGAGTCTGCAGCACACAGGTAGATGACGTCATACTTTCTGTGTGTGTGTGAGAAATACTTGATATAAGTGTGCGAGAGATGTGAGGTATGTGACGCATACTGTGTGTGTGTGTTGTTGCTGGGCGAAAAGCTCTATAGTTAGGTCCCTCCCTATCTCCAGGTTACCATGGGGACAGAAACTCCCTCATGAGGGAACTTTGGGATTTTAGCCTTTGCAGACCGTTGTCTTTTTTGGTATTGTATGCAGCCCTAGTCTTAGTACATTAACTGTTGTCAGTTTGATTTATATTTTGCCATGCTGTGGACCTACAGTATAGCCTCAGGATTAGAACATGATCAGCTAGTCACACAGCACTACTGACAAGAGAAGTGTACTGATAAGTTCACTGTGAATCAAGAGTGCAACAAAAGAGCTCATGCAGACCAGAAAGCATTTCCTTAGACTGCAAATATAAGAGATGTGTTTTGACACACGGTTCAATTGTTACTCCTCCTATTAACATAACAATTCATATTTCAATAATCTAAAGCGTAGCAAAGCAAGTCAAGTTTTGGAACAGGGTTCAGGGATGGACACATTGATTATAATGTTTTGTGTGTCACATTAAGATGGCAAACCAGGAAGTAGATATTTTCGCATGATGGGTGAAAAAGTAACTTTGGGTCAGACTTCAGGAACATTAATATACTGTCAAAATGTGAATCTGCTTAATAACTACGTCAGTATTGTGTCTCCCAGGGCAGTAATGTTGGTCTGTGCACCATTTTTGGTCTAGACTGCGTAGTGTGTACTAATAAATGTAACAAAAAAAATTGCAATTTAGTGACAGAAAAACAAGTTTTGCAATATTATCTATAATAATAATATAGATTCTATTTTTAATCCCGCTGATTTCTATTTCTGTGCTGCACACACCATATAAGGACTACACTGGAAGAATTATTCATCAAAAATGTAAATGTTTAAATATTTTGTGAAAGCACCAAACAACCCTACAATATGTTCGGAATATCGATATTGATTTATTCATCAGAAATATCTCCATATTGCAGAGCCCTAATTTCCACTTGACACTTCACTTGAACGATTATTACAGTCTATCAATGTCTGATGATTGTGTGACATCATTATTTCTTCCCATGGTTCTCACCTGCTGTGTTTGTGTCAGTTCTTCCTGCAGGACACTAAAAGCAGCAACGGGACGTTCATCAACAGCCAGAGGTTGAGTCGCGGCTCGGAGGAGAGTCTGCCCTGCGAGGTTCTCTCAGGAGACATCATCCAGTTCGGCGTCGACGTCACTGAGAACACACGAAAAGGTACATATGAAATATATTTACAAACATACAATTCTAGTAAAGGTAGTACCCGGGTTTAAAAATGAAGACATGCTAAGAGAGATGAGGATTGTAAAGAATAAATGAATTTGGTTACAGTGAGATACAACGGAACTATTTTTGTCCCTACTCTACCAACCTTTAAATGCACACATACAACCCTGACATAATTACACTTGACTACCCCTTAATAGTACCTTAAGGCTCATTTTGTAAAGGTCATGGACTCCATACTGTTGTCATACAAAGTATAGAGCAGATATTGAGGTCAGATTTTCAGCTCCACTTATACCTCTTTCATTCTGGAGACCAAATGCACATCCAACCTGCCTTCATAGGAAATCCCCTTTCATAAAACCACAAGGTTTATTTTATATTAAGGCATGGCTAATCATGATGCTCACAGCACCCCTGTGTATCTGTATCGAATATCAACATTTATGAAATGTAGTATTTAGAATAATAGTTACAATAAAATGAAATTAATTTCCTTCTAACTATATGGAAATAAATTATAAACAGCTTTTAAATATCCCACATTTTTCAAGAATTTGCCATTTTCTTGCAATCTAGCCACAGAAAAGTGAAGAGCAACTACTTGTGTACTTTCTTAATCGATTACCCTGTACAATGTTTATTTGTATCATTTATTGTTGTAACACAATATTTGTCTTGCTCATTCACAGTTAAATAAACAGTTGCTTTCATAAGTAGGGGGCTGCACCATTTTAAAGAAAAACATTGCAATCGTACTTTTTCTGTTGTATTGCAATATGAAAAATCACAGACATAATTGCAAAAACATACATGCATTTTGCATGTTTAAGGTGAATGAACCGATCTGGTGCACTTTTAGCATTAAGAGAATAGATAATGTTGTGCTCTACAAACACATTTGGGGTATATGACTGATCGATCATAACCCAGCATAAAGCACACACCCATCATGCAGACGGTCGCAGTTATGGTAAGTCTCTGAACCAGGGTATATTCAGGGGAAACGTTCCCTCCGAACAAAGGTATCTTCCAAATGAGAGTAAAACACACACTGACTGGTTATACACCCCCAAATCAATATGACACAAAATGGCTTATAGCGTTAACATAATAGCAAACCTGATATTATGAAAGTAGTAAAAGTACGAACAAAGGGTGTAATGGAAGCCAACAAACTTATACACGGCAGCTGAAGTATTCTCCACAGTCTCCATGTTACGATATAATAAACTCTTTCCGATTCTGGACGTGTTACTAAACATATATTTGTAATAGGGCTGTCAAGTTAACGTGTTAATAATGCGTTAACGCAAAAAAAAATTAACGCCACTAATTATTTTAACGCGATTAACGCATGTGTATTTTTTGTCCTCGGCCGCCCCGTAGTTTCAGAGCGCATCGAGTTTAAAATACCATCTACAAGCTGATGCTGACAGCCCCGCTCCTGCCGCCCGCTTGCGGCAGACCACACTTCCACGCTCACCGGCAAACCCTGACTGGCCATCGGGAGGACCGGGAGGGTGTGTGTGTGGCGCGAGAGAGAGACCTTACGTGTATTGTTGTTGTTGTTAGCATCTGGTGCTAGCTAGCTGCGCTAACGGATATAAGGAGCTGTTTCAATGAAAACAGAGGAGCGACATTTCGCCGAGCACTTGACTTTATGCAGGAAGCCAGACAGTGGGACATTGTACGAAAAGTCAGCACACTCAGCACGGATAGTGCGCAACATGATTGCAGCGTCCAGGCAGCTCCCGTTCGAGCATATGCCTTGAGTTGCACATAGCTCCAACGATCCATCACACACACACACACACACACACACACACACACACACACACACACACACACACACACACACACACACACGCACACACACTTTGTATTGTATTATTGTGATTGAATTGAGGCGAATATTTGTAATGTTCAGAGGTTGTTGTGTTTAATATTCATGAGAATATTTGTCATTGCTCAAATGATAATAAACATTAGCATAAAGCATATTTGTTCACTCATATGTTGATAAGAGTATTAAAAACTTGAAAAATATTCCTCTAAGGTACATTTAGAACAGATAAAAAATGTGCGATTAACTATGGACAATCATGCGATTAATCGCGATTAAATATTTGAATCGACTGACAGCCCTAATTTGTAATACTATCTGCTTACTGTTTGGGCCACTTTTATATTCTCAAGCTTCAGATAGCTTACCAGGTTTTCCCATTTCAAATATCTCGATTCTATTTTAGGATTCTACTTGTTTTTTCCACATTTTAAAAATTAATTGCGTTGATAGATTGATTCAGTGATGACGGACACTTCCAATGTATCCTGATGTGATGTTAATGAATCAGTTCTGAAGTGTTGGGCGTTAACATGATGGTTGTCTGTTTGTGTTTCCAGTCACCCATGGCTGTATCGTGTCAACACTCAAACTCTTCCTACCTGATGGGATGGAGGCACGGCGACGAAGCGAGTAAGCATTCTTATTGGTTTAGACTCACCAGTGTTAATTTTGGCAGCTGTTTTTGATTTAGTCTTTAGATGAAAATGGTTATTAGTTTTAGTCACATTTTAGTCATTTCTATCCCTCATAGTTTTAGTCTAGTTTTAGTCGACGAAAACTCAAAACGTTTTAGTCGATGAAAAATTACATTTTAGTCAAAATGTTTTCTCTCTTTAAACCAATTCAGTTTGGCAAATACAGGTTTCTGACATTGGAATCAAGGTGACAGCATCAAGTGTTGAAATTCGTAAAGCAACATTTCACTCTCTTAACACTTTACTTGTGTAATATCCAGGGATGGGCTATCGTTAAGGTTTTCTACGGTACTACTAGTCTTATCGATACTGCTTATCAATCCGGTACTTTAACGGTATTCTTGTATTTACTTTTTGTTATTTTTTAAAGGGAAAAACTAACATTGTTAACCGAATTAATTGCTTTATTTAAATGTGAAATAAATGAAATATATATAATTATGTTAAAATATTGTACTGTACTTGAGTAAAATGTTGAGGTACTTGTACTTTACTGGAGTATTTAAATGTTTTGCTACTGTGTACTTCTACTCCACTACAGTTCATAGGTAAATGGTGTACTTCTGCTCCACTACATGCATTTAATACATTTAGTTACTTCACAGATGTGGATGAATGATGTGAAATCTAATCAAGTGTTTAATCAGACTTTAGTTCCACCTGGAGTAAATCCACCAGCTACCCTGCAGTATACAAAGTCCTTCAAACTAGCTGCACCTTTACCAGCTTTGAGAACACTTTCATGATCAATCATTATAAAACATATCATATATATTATTCTGAAATGGACCAATCTGCATAATGACTACTTTTACTGTCGCTACTTTCACTATATTTTAATGAGAATACTTTTACTTGAGGAACTCTTCCTACACTATGGTATTTTTTTACTTAACTACAAGATCTGAGTACTTCTCCCACCTCTGCACACCTGATGTGATAACGTGACTCGTAATTGAGGCAACAGAGCTACGATTTAAGGAAGTCGAAAATTGTGCATTTCTCCGACTGAATATGACGCCTTTTGGCCGGTTGTTTGGACAGACTACTCTACTCGTGTCAACGTGCTAACGCGAAATCACTAATGACAAACGAGCTTTGTCCACATCGAGCCTTGTAGAGTGCCTCTATACTTCTGAACACTCCGTCCCCGGCAGATCTCTGTGTGCCGCTGCAGCGTGTCTGTTAGGCCCCGCCCCCCGCACACAGAGAGACACAGGGGGATCGCTCTTCTGGAGTGAAGAGAGCGGAAATAATGATATTGCAAGTTAGAAACGTAAGATGCATTTTGACAGATAAGACGGACAATTGGGGGGAAATATGCTGCATTTTGAATGTCCGATAGTCCACCATTAACACCTTAGTCCCGTCTCGTCAACAAAAACTAAATATACATTTCGTCAAAGTTTTCGTTATCAAGAATCTATTTTTAGCTCGTCATCGTCTCGTCTTAGTCATGTAAAAAAAGGTCGTTGACGAACATTTTTCGTCATAGTTTTCATTGACGAAATTAACACTGAGACTCACCCATGAAGCGATCACATTGATCACTTATACATTGTAACAAAACTAATGCTGTCAAAATTATCGCGTTAACGGTGGTAATTAATTTTTTGAATTAATTGCGTTAAAATATTTAACGCATTTAACGCATGTGCAGAATGGCCCGCCCCATACATGCCACCAGTGGCAGCGCCAGGGTATGGCTGGGGTAGGCTACACCCATACCAAGAAATGGCTTAGCCCCACCATGAAAAATGATGTTAAAGTAAGCAAAATAAAGTCCACCAACTCCCGCCGAGAATTGCACAGACAGCAGTTAGTAAGATTGATTTCAGTAGCCACTTGTCTGGAAATACCGAAGACCAGAAACGGTTTTGAAAACTTTTGTCACGTAGTGATCGTCTTCTCAATAGAACATCTTTGATAATGTCTTCTGGCCAATCAGAATCAAGATAACGGCGTGGTGTTGTTGCAGGAAGTCCCGACGGAGAATACTTTTGCTGTAGTACAGGGGTGCACATAACTGGTACGCAGGTTATGTGCGTAATCTGAAATGCGTACCGTCACTTGTGTCACAAAGCGCATTTGCGTACCGACGTACTTGTGAAGCTTTTCCAGAAGGCGGTTAGATCACCGGACGACAGAGTCGGTCTCCGTGTGCACAGACAGGGCTGCTGTTAACGTCGACTTTCCTGAAGTACTCCCCCGTTGATAGAAATCAACACGTAATGAATTAAGACCCCACGGTTTGATGATTGATAGGTGTGTGGGCTGTCTTTCATTTTGACACAGACATTTTTTATAATAAACATACATGTGAAATGGATATATCCGCCTTCTTTCATTTATCTTTCCATTCCCACAACAATATACATAAAGAAATGGCATATTTTGGACATAGTTCGAATGGTGATTAATCATGATTAATTCATTTTTAAGCTGTGATTAATCTGATTAAAAATGTTAATCGTTTGACAGCCCTAAACAAAACGTTAAAGTTTCTGGTCATTTATCGAAAATTATTGTTGGAAATTATTAACCAGCTACTAATAGTTGTAATATATGTCTGTTTTTGCAAATTATGCTGTTATTGCCTGTCTGGCTGCTTTCACAAACACACACACCAAATTTCTGCTTGCATAGTGATGTGATTAGTTTCAGTCTAGTTGTTGACGAGGACATTAGTCAACAAGCTGTGGGGGAAATGGAGTGTGTGTGTTCATTGTTGAACTTGCGATAACCAGTTAATTCTAATGGTGTTCATTTGATGTTCACATATATTCATGCTGAGTGTTGGGGAATGAAGGATATTGTGGTTACAAATAACAGTATCACAATTATAGTGTGTTAAATGCGCTGTAGCAGACCATCAGCTGACCCAGCATGAGCTTCCTACTGTACTGGGAGTCCCGTGTGTTTGTGTGTGGAGATGCCGGGACACGGGGGCATGGTGGGCAGCGCCATCTGCCCCACTCCGGCTTTCAGTCTGGAAAACACAGACGAGCATCCTGACCTGCGTGAACACAGACAAAAACGAATCTTGGCAAATCTAGAGTTGGTATCCGAAAATCTATGACTACTTTGATTTGAGCTCTGATTTTGGTCTCTTATGGACCACACAGTGGATTATAGTCTGCATTTAAACAATAATAATAATAATATATTTTATTTATAAGAGCACTTTTCATTTGCGTAAACAAAACTCAAAGTGCTACAAAATTAAAAATAAACCATCCTAGTATTAGGAACAGTAACAGAGATATATCCGTCTCTTCATCTGCCAAATGCTTCACCAGCTGGTCTATAACTGTCAGTTTACTGCAGAGTAAACAGTGGGTCTTTAAAGCTTTTTTTGTTGAAATTGGCGCTACAACAGCAGTGAGAGTGAAGCATATTTGTGAGGCGGGCAGCAGAAATAATGACCCAAAAATGTATGTAAAGCTTGAAAACATGGATTAACTCGAGCCTCACACTAGCACAGTTAATGTTAATATTGCCAAGTTAGCCCAACGACAAAACCTGGTTTCAGGAAAAATGTAAAATCCCATGAAATACAGGAAGCATTTCCCTTTAAGTCTTGTCTCCATTGACTCGATACACTTTGGCGCTGCATTTCAGAGCACTAAAGTTATTTAGAGACGGTGAAACTGTTTGTGTTGTACATTTGTTTCCTTTTTATTTCTGGCTTTGTTGAAGTTTTTTTATTGGCTGCATTTTGATCAGGTCATCGGCCAGGGTTTGGTTGATCAGCCACTGAAGATTATTGGCTTACATTTGTTCTTAATACTTTGATCGGAGCTCCCTATGAACCTCATCCAAAAAAGCCAATCACATGAAGCACCGATCCCAACTGAAACGGTTTCAATACTCATTAGCCTGCTTTTAAAGCCAGATGTATTTAACCCCTTCATATTAGACGCATTCACACCGCAGTACTTTTCCCACAAAGGTTCATCAGAACTTAATTCATAAGAACTCTTTAGTTCTCATGAACTAAGTACAGATTGCGTTCACACCGGAATAAGTCCCTGAGGGAGGATTAGGCAAATGAAGCCGCTGACGTCACTTCTTCTTCTGCTTTGGGTTTACTGGCAGGCCGCACATATGGGATTAGTTTTGTATCATAAAGATAAAGCAACACTTTCTCAGAATAAAGCAAAACTATGAGTTTAAAAGAAAAAAAAACTGAGTCAAACTAAATAAAATAAATTTCAAAAATAAAACTATAGGTTGCAAACAAATCATTTGTGTAATCATGTAAACTATAAGTCTTTTTTCTTTGTTTTAACATAGGTTTTTGTTTTCAGTTCTTGTTTCTTCTTTCTCAATGATCAGACTTTTGCTCTCGCTGCAGCTCTTCTCGTTTGCGCTCCCTCATTTTTTGTTTTCGATTTTGACACAAACATCCCAGGTGGGCGGGACTCTCAGTTTTTGAGTGACAGCCCACTACACCACAGATCATACAGTGCAACTCATGCAGCAAACTCCGGAGTCCACTCGGCCACGTTAGTGTTGGTGTCTCCTGGGGAGTTTCCATGAACATATCGGACTTATCTTATGGATTGCTGTGCATTATACTTGTGTTGTGTAGTTTATACTTTATTCCAACTTTAAATATTATAATACCAGAACACACTGCTGCTGTGAAATAATTTCCCAATTTGGGATTGATAAAGTGTCTGTCTGTCTATTTATTTATTTTATAGATTAAAAAAACAGATCTATGTATTTTCAAGCTAAAGGTGATACACAATATAAACTGTTTACAGTTATTTTTTCAAAGACATGTTACATTTCAAAAGCATATATTGCTATGTTTAGGACAAACAATTAAAGGCTGCTTTACAATATAAAAGTGGCAGATTTGCTTTATTAAACAGAGCAGACCTAGGTTGCATACCAACACAATTAGGAACATGCTATGTTGGTCTG